TATTTTTATTTTTATTTTTTTTAGACAGAGTCTTGCTTTGTTGCCAGGCGCCAGGCTGGAGTGCAGTGGCGGGATTTCGGCTCACTGCAACCTCCGTCTCCCGGGTTCAGGCAATTCTCCTACCTCAGCCTCCGCAGTAGCTGGGACTACAGGCACAAGCCACCACACCCAGCTAATTTTTGTATTTTTAGTAGAGACAGGGTTTCACCATGTTGGCCAGGATGGTCTTGATCTCTTGACCTTGTGATCTGCCTGCCTCAGCCTCCCAAAGTGCTGGGATTACAAGGCGTGAGCCACCGCCCCTGGCCGTATTTTTATTTTTTTGTAAAGACAGGCTCTCATTATGTTGTTCAGGGTGGTCTTAAACTTCTGACCTCCCATCTTACTTTGCTTTGGGAGCAGAGTGTTGGGATTATAGGCAAGAGCCACTGTGCCTATCCTCTGCTTGTGTTTTAGAAATTATTTTACTCTTTTTGTTAAAAGATTAGTATAGGATTCTGAATTTTTTCTCAGTGTTATCTTAAATTTCATTGAGCTCCCTCAGAACAGCTATTTTGAATTCTCTGTCACTGGATTGGTCACTGGGGCCTTATTTAGTTCATTTGGGAGGTCATGTTTTCCTGGATGGTCTTGTTGCTTGTGGAGGTTCGTTTACGTCTGGGCATTAAAGAGTTAGGTATTTATTATAGTCTTCACAGTCTGGACTTGTGTGTACCCATTTTTCTTGTGAAGGCTTCTCAAGTATTAAAAAGGAATTGAGTGTTGTGATCTAAATTTTTGGTCACTGCAGCTATAAATGCATCAGGGGACACCTCAAGCCCAGTAATGCTTTGACTCAGAGGTATTGCCTTGGTGGTCTTGGGTAAGATCCAGAATTCTGTGTATTACCAGGCAGAGCCTCTTATTCTCTTCTCTTACTTTCCTCCAAACGACGGAGTCTCTCCATGCTAAGCTGCCTGGGACTAGGGGAAGGGTGACACCTTGGCCACCACCACTGGGACTGTGCTGGGTTAGATGTAAGGCCAGCACTACCTTGGGTCTCGCCCAAGGCCTGTGGTGACCACTGCCTGGCTGCTGCTGATACTCACTCAAGGTCTTCAGTCAGCAGTTGGCAAAGCTAGTCAGGCATGTATGTTTCCCTTCAGGGTGGTGAGCTCCCCCTAGGTCAGGGCAGATCCAAGAATGCCATCCAGGAGCAAAGGACTGGAGCCGAGAACCTTAGGAATCTATGTAGTGCTCTGTTCTACTGTGGCTGAGCTAGGCCACAAGACAAAATCTTTCCCGCTCTTCCCCTTCCCTTCCTTATACAGAAGGAATTTCTCTCCATGACCACCACTGCCCCAGGCACACACAGGCACACACTGCCTGGCTACTGCCAGTGTTTACTCAAGGCCCAAGGGCTCTTCAGTCAGCTTGTGGTGAATGCTGTCAGGCCTGGGTCTTTCCTTGCAGGGCAGTGGGCCCCCCTCTGGCCCAGGGCAGGTCCAGAGATGTCATCCAGGAGCTAAGGCTTGGAATTGGGGACCTCAGGAGCCCACTTGGTACACTACCCCACTGTGGCCGAGCTGGTACCCAGCTGCAAGACAAAGTCTCCTTTTTTCTTCTCTCTTCTGTCTTCAAGCAGGAGGAGTCTCTCCTTTTGGTCATCACAGGTGGGAATGCACCGGGTCACAACTGAAACCAGCACAGCCCTAGGTCTCAACCAAGGTTCACGGCAAATACTGTCTAGGTGCTGCTGATGTTTATTCAAGGCCCAAGGACTCTTTAGTCAGCAAGTGATGAATCCTGCCGGGACTGAGTTCTTCCCTTCAAGGCAGTGGGTTCCATTCTGACCCAGGGTCTGTTTTATCTAGAAATGTTATCTGGGAGCTAGGGCCTAGAATGGGGGCCTCAGGAATCTGCCTGGTACCCTGTTCTACCATGGTTGAGCTGGTATCCAAACTGCAAGACCAAGTCCTCTGTATTTGCCCCCTCCTCTCCTCAAGTACAAGGAAGCAGTCTCCCAGAGCTGCAAGCTGTGCTACATGGGGTTGGGGAAGGGGTGATGCAGGCACTCGTTTTGGCCATCCCAGCTAGTATCTCATTAGGGTCACATGCACCCCAAGTCCATTGGCTCTGATCCCAGCCTAGCACCAATACTTGTTCAAGAACTAACAATCTTTGTGGCTTTTCAAATTTCTTAAGGATCCTAGAGCACTTTAGTTTGCAGTGGTGGGACTAGCCAGAACTCAGGTAATAAAAAAACCTCCAGGATGGATGATTCCTCTCTGACTAGGGCTGATGTAAATACTCTATTGGTGCTGGCAGAATTCTGCCCTGTGTTGGCTTTCTGCTGTGACAGGCCAGCACTGAGTTCCAATGCAAAGTCGCATAATTACTATGATGTCTCTCCTCCAAGCACACAGATTCTGTCTCTGCCACGTGACCACTGCCGAGAGGCTGGGGGTGGGGTGGTGTCGGTAACTCAAGACTGTCTTTTCTGTCTTCTTTGGTGCATCTTTCCTTAATGTGATGTTAAAATTGGGTACTGTGATCACTCATCTGATTTTGGGTTTTTAGGAAGATGATTCCCCATGTGGATAGTTGTTTTCTGTTTGTTTTTTTGCAAAAGCGTCTTGCTCCATTGCCCAGCAAGCTGGAGTGCAATTGTGCGATCATGGTTCACTGCAGCAAACTCGCAGGCTTAGGGCATCCTCCTGCCTCAGCCTGCTGAGTGAGGCTAGGACTCCTGACTGGGACTACAGGCATGTGCCACCATACTCAGCTAATTTTTGTATTTTTTTGTGGTGGGAGTGCGGTTTTACCCTCTTGCCTAGGCCCACCTCAGCCTTCCAAAATGCTGGGATTACAGGCATGAGCCACCATGCTCAGCCTGGATAGTTGTTCAATTTGATGTTCTTGCTTGGGGGATAATGACTGAAAGGGTGTGTTTGGCAACCTTGCTCTACCTCCTCCTCTAAAAATTCTTTTTTTTGAGACAGAGTCTCACTCTGTCACCCAGGCTGGAGTGCAATGGTGTGATCTCAGCTCACTGCAACCTCTGCCTCTTGAGTTCAGGCAATTCTCCTGCCTCAGCCTCCCAAGTAGATGGGATTACAGGTGCAAGCCACCATGTCAGCTAATTTTTGTATTTTTAGTAGAGACAGGGTCTTGAACTCCTGACCTCAAGGGGTCCACCTGCCTCAGCCTCCCAAAGCGCTGGGATTACAGGCCTGAGCCACAGTGTTATTTTCTTATATCAAGCAAAAGTTAAAGGTTATATTCACTAAAAAAATTTTAAGAAATTAAAAATTTTTAATTTTCATTTGCTGAAAAAATTTTGAATATTTAAAATTTTGATTATATTGCTATTGTGTATTTATATAAATTGATAATTTGCATATTTGAGACATAATATATACATAAATAAAACTAAAAGCAAATATAGTTGTGAAGTTAAATATTAATATCTTCTAAAAATGTTAATTTAACTTCTTTTTTTTTCCTGGCAACTTTCATTTAATAATTTAACTTTTTTTTTTTTTTTTTTTTTTTTTTGAGACGGAGTTTCGCTCTTGTTACCCAGGCTGGAGTGCAATGGCGCGATCTCAGCTCACCGCAACCTCTGCCTCCCGGGTTCAGGCAATTCTCCTGCCCCAGCCTCCTGAGTCGCTGGGACTACAGGCACGCGCCACCATGCCCAGCTAATGTTTTGTATTTTTAGTAGAGACGGGGTTTCACCATGTTGACCAGGATGGTCTCGATCTCTTGACCTCGTGATCCACCCGCCTCGGCCTCCCACAGTGCTGGGATTACAGGCTTGAGCCACCGCGCCCGGCCAATAATTTAACTTTTAACTTAAAAAATTATTTAGTGTTTCTTAACCCAGAAATGAATATAAAGAGCATACTTTATACATATTCTTTTTATGTTAAAGCACATATATACGTATGGTACGTGAACAGATATATATTTGTGGTATTAAAATTTTGTGGAGAGAGGCAATCAGGAAAAACATATTTTAAAAGGCTACTTGGCATGATTATGAAGAGTTGAGAAACAGAACACTGTGTAGGGGTCTCTTGGTAGGAGAATTTGGGATGGCAAAATGTCAGTTGGATGGAAATGACCCTACTGGTTGAAGGCATGCCAGCTTATACCTAGAGGATTCCATGGTATTTTCCTTCACTCATTTCTGTGGTGTTCTCTCTTATATCTTTCAGCATCCCCTACTTACAAGGCTCTATGCTGGATATACTAGTAGGATACAGGCTGGGAGTTGAAGAGGGTGACCCAGACGATACACATATGTAGAAGAAATAGTTTCTACTTTTATAGTTCTTTAGTCTAATTGGAGAGAGATGATAGAAACATGGAAAGTTTATTCATTTAGTAAGAATTAAATGTAAATTCAAGGTAGACATGATGTAATATTTGCCTTATTGCTAAAAATTTCTGTTTATCTTTAATATTCTATGTGTTTATTTTATAATGTCCCTGTTTGTATAGTGTTTTTAGCATTCCATGGTACTTTGTATGTATAGTTTATAATCATTGTCTAATACCACAGCTTTAGCTCTGAGGCTAGGATATGAAAAGAAATAATATAGGTTATTGTTTTGGAGGGTTCTGGCTTCTGCTTCTTTGTGTGTTGTGTTGAGAGAAAATAATACTAGGATTGGAGAAATAGTCAAGGCTGTAGCGTGTGTCTGGGAAACCTAGGATTGTAATTCATGAATCTTGTGTTTGGCAGTTTCTTTTGCCTTTCTGGAAATCTGGCAACCATTTACAGATACAATGGAATATACTTTACTTTGGATCTTTTAGAGCATGTCCATTAGCTGTTTAACTCAAGAGAGGGCCTCAGCCTTTCAAATCACCTGACTTCGTGGCCTTTTGGCTGCACTGTGTTATCAGCTGACCTTTGAAGCTGACCCTTCAGAGGCCTTCTGCATGCTTTAGGTGGTGTTTTGGCTTCTTTGTTCCTTCCACTGTCATTAACCTGTATTTTTCTTTTATAGATGTCTCTGCAAATAGACTCATGGGTGGTGCCATGCAGCTTACCTTCCGCAAGATGGGATTTGACTATTACCCTTTCCACTGGGCAGGTTAGGAAAATTCTGAATGGGGCCAATTCTAGCATAGCCCAAAATATTGAGGGCAGATTCCTGGATTCATCCCTGACTACGTAACAGGAGGTTGCCAGAGATTGCAGTGTGTGCTCAGAGGGTTGTTGGAAATATTTCTCTTCAAGAGGACATCTGGAAACTTGCAGCTTCCACTATTGATGATTCTTTATCAGTGATGAGAGGAAGTGGGTAGGGGACGCAGTACCTGAGATATTACTTTTGATTCTACTCTCAGCCCCTCACTTCCACTAGTGTTAGAGCCTCTCCAGTAGTCCATAGTCAAAGATGGCAGCAGTCAGCAGCTTGCCTTTAGAGAGCCTTTGGAAAAAATTCACATATGAAATCTGGAAGAATGTACAACCTATCATTGGGTAATTTTTCCTTATCCTAGAGACTTCTGGATTGTGGGTGAGGAATCAGATTCTGAACTATGACTATACTGACAGAAAGGAAAAATTGGAACATTTGTCATGATCTTGGGCTAAAATCTTTTCACTGCTTTGTTGCATAGGTGACAGTTGCAAACACTGGGTACGCCACTGTGAGGCCATGGAGACCCGAGGCCAGTGGGCCCAGAAGCTAGTGATGGAATTTCAGAGCAAAATGGAGAAGTGGCATGAAGAGACGGGTCTGAAACCACCCTGGCACCTGGGAGTAGACTCTTCCTTTCGAAGGAAAGCAGGTGGGTTATGAGGAACTTGAAGCCTCCAATTGCTTAGCTCTTGCCATTTATCTTTGAATAATGTGATAAAGCAAGAACTAGCTAACTACCCTAACTGTATCTAATGGAGAGACATCAGTGACATTTTTCTTTATAGATACTTCTTTAACCCCAGGGATAGCTGCAATGTTGAAGAGAAGTTGTCATTATCCTTGGTCTTAAGAATATCATTTCTGAGTTCATCCAGGAGCTAGACAGTGTTAAGCTGTCATTCCTACATAGAGCTTAATTATCTTAGGATTTTTACTTTCCTTATTCTATTAATAATGAGAGTTGAATGTATTTTATTCTTTTTCCCACATTATTTTTATTTAGATTCTCTTTCCAGTCCTCGAAAGAACCCTCTTGAGAGAAGCCCCTCTCAGGGCAGACAGGCTGCCTTTCGGCCTCCAGCATGGAACCGCTTACGCTCTAGCTGCATGGTGGTACGGGTGGATGACCTGGACATCCACCAGGTGAGGACATGGGGAAACATGGTTGGAAAGAGGTGGAGCAATTTACTTGGAAGGCAACTGGAACAGTGTGAACAAAGTTTTGGAATTTTGGGACTATTTGCCTCACTTCTAGGAAGATTAATAGTTTGGCTGGTGAGATCAGGACTTGGGATTTCCCCCAGTTTTCCTGTGAATGCTCTGCTTTGAACCTCCTGCTGAAAAAACTAACTCGTGGATCATACGAGGCAGATGTGAGAATGCCTGAAATATGTGTGAAAGACACTGTGTTCCCTGTGACAGACTTTAGAGGGATAGTAGAGGTTTTATGCTTCCTGAGTGGAAATGGAGGTCTGTTCTAGGTGTGATTGTTGGTACTAACAGTAAGTTGTGATTGCTTAGGTTTCCACAGCTGGTCAGCCAAGTAAGAAGCCATCTACCCTCCTTTCCTGCAGTCGGAAACGTCACAACCTGCCCACACAGGTCTCTGCCATTCATATTGAATTCACAGAGTATTACTTCCCAGATAATCAGGAGCTTCCAGGTGAGCATCTAGGCTGGCTATTTCTTCTGTCTAGCTCATGCTTTTCCCATTTGTCAGCCTTGGGACCACTACTTATATTTTTATTTGTTGTTAGGAGTTTTTCAGTGTTTGAGTTAATTTAGCGCACTTTTGTTAAACACTCTGCCCTGTATAAATGTGTACCTTTGCTTTGTTGATAATAGAGTTAATATTAGGTGGTAAGAGTCTAGCTATTGCTTTTTACAGGATGTTTCTTTTCTTCCCTCTGCTTTTCAGTTCCTTGTCCTAATCTCTACATTCAGTTAAATAGTCTGACATTTACTATGGATCCTGTCAGTTTGCTCTGGGGAAACCTCTTTTGCCTGGATTTATACCGCAGCTTGGAGCAGTTCAAAGCTATCTACAAGCTGGAAGATTCAAGCCAGAGAGATGAACATCTGGACATCCGACTAGATGCCTTCTGGTTGAAGGTGAGGGGAGAGTGTGACTTTTGTCCCCTGTTGGTAGCCACAGTTGCATTTTTCCAATGGATATAATCTATGATTCTGCTCTGCCTATTTTGTGAAATTAAGGAAATAGTTTTCACAGCCCAAGTGATGTTTTACATGTGTTTAATGGTGGGATGCTGAGATACTCAGATGACCATTCTGAATTGTATTTCATTTTCTTTGTTGAAGGTGAGCTTTCCACTGGAAAAGAGAGAGCGGGCAGAATTGCATCGTCCCCAGGCCCTTGTCTTCTCTGCATCAGGCATGATTGCCACCAATACACGTCATGCCCCACATTGTAGTTGTTCAGACCTCCAGAACCTCTTCCGGGGTTTTGCTGCTGCTGAGTTCTTTCATTCCAATTATGATCACTTTCCTAAGGTTCCAGGTGGCTTTAGCCTTCTGCACATGCTTTTTTTACATCATGCCTTTCAGATGGATTCCTGCCTGCCTCAGCCTAATACCCTCCCTCCCCAGAGATCTAAGGCTTCCCAGGATCTCTGGTCTGTCCACTTTACCCAGATCTCCTTGGACTTTGAGGGAACCGAAAACTTTAAAGGCCATACCTTGAATTTTGTAGCCCCTTTCCCCCTGTCCATTTGGGCTTGCCTACCCCTCCGCTGGCAGCAAGCCCAGGCACGGAAGCTCCTTTTGGCCTCAGAGGGGAGGCTGAAACCGTCAGCCAGCTTTGGAAGTCCTGTGCAGTCTGAGGCTCTTGCCCCTGACTCTATGCCCCATCAGAGGTCAAAGACTGAGCATGACTTGAAAAGCTTATCAGGCCTTACAGAAGTCATGGAAATTCTGAGAGAAGGCAATAGTGGTATGGACAGCAAAGAGCCTCTGACAGAGCTGGAGGATGTAGCAGATGTTCATATACTTGTACATTCCCCAGCCCCTGTCCTTGTGAGGCTTGACCACTACCAGTACTTGGCTCTGCTTCGCCTGAAGGAGGTGCTGCAGAGGCTTCAAGAGCAGCTGACTAAGGATACAGAGTCAATGACTGGGTCACCCTTGCAGGACCAGACAGCTTGCATTGGAGTTCTCTTTCCCAGTGCTGAGGTGGCTCTGCTTATGCATCCTTCCCCCAGTGCTGACGATGCTGACTCTGCAGGCTCAGATAGCACTAGCCTTGTAGATTCAGAGCTGTCGCCTTCAGAGGATCAGGAACTGAAGTCTGACGCCTCATCAGACCAGGGCCCAGCAAGCCCTGAGAAGGTCCTGGAGGAAAGTAGCACTGAAAATCTGGATGCATCCCAGGAGAGGCCACATAGCAATGGAGAACTGCAGGACTCAGGTCCACTTGCCCAGCAGCTAGCAGGGAAGGGCCATGAGGCAGTTGAGTCCCTACAGGCCAAGAAACTGAGCAGAACCCAAGCCTCCAGCTCGCCAGCTGTATTGAAGCCCCCGGCTGGCAGGGAGACTGCTGTGGATGGACAGGGCGAGCTCATCCCCTTGAAGGACATTGAGGGAGAATTGTCAAGTGCTATTCATATGACCAAGGATGCCACCAAGGAGGCTCTACATGCCACCATGGACCTCACCAAGGAAGCTGTGTCCCTGACTAAGGATGCCTTCAGTTTGGGCAGAGATCGAATGACCTCCACCATGCACAAGATGTTGTCCCTGCCCCCAACCAAGTGAGTGGTTCTGTGCCTCCTTCACTCATCCCATCTCCTTCTAGTTCTGATCACTGGGTTTAAGTCCTCTCACTGTGTGCATTTCTAGATTGGGAAGCACCATATAGTCCAAGAGAATGCATAGAATGGCCTATTTAGTGGGAAGTTTTCAAGTCAATATTTATTGCTTCTTAGAATCAGATTATCTCTTTTTTTACTGTTTCACTTTTTTTTTTTTTTTTTTTCCCTTCAAGACAGGTCTTACTGTGTTAGCCAGGCTGGTCTTGAACTACTGGGCTTTGCAGTCCTCCTGCCTCAGCTTCCTGAGTAGCTGGGATTATAGACATGTGCCACCATACCCAGCTTGATACAAATATGCTATATCAGGATAATAATACTTGGCATAGGTATAATGTTCTTTTCAGTGGGCTTTCATGTAATTTTTTTGTTTGATTCGATCCCCACAGCAGTGGTAGGGTAGCCTCAGACATTTGTATCCCCAGTTTATAGCTGAGAAAACTGAGGAACCTGACGCTTTAGAGTGGATCAGCTCATAGATACCCAATATCTTGTTAATAGAAAAGCTGTGGCTTTGGACTTCTTTCTTGTACCCTACCAATATCTGCCAGAATAATAGAGAAGGAAGAATTTCATCCATTCAACAAATATCTTTTGAGCCCTTTCTGTGTGCTGGGCTCTGTATTAAGCACTGGAGGTACAGGAGGGAGTAAAGAGAAACAGAAATGCACAGTGAGAAGAGTAGAAAAGCATGGATTTTCCCATGAGTGCTTTGTGGTTTTAGGAAAGATAATTGAGTCTAAGAGAAGTCTTTCCTGGAACTCTTTGTGGTTTAGAGACCATGGTATGAAGATCAGTGCATTTAGAGCTTTTGTCTAAGTGAATTATGTTAAGTGGATCTCTAAGCAGTGCCTGTGGATGAGCTAGTACCTGCTAGGATAGACAGCAAGGAAGGAGAGGAAAACCCAAAGGGTTGAATTGTATAATAATACTAGCCAACATTTACTGAGTGCCTTCTGTGCCTGACAAGACACAGTCCTAAGTACTTACAATATTAGTCCACTGAATTTTTTTTTTTTTTTTTTTTTTTGAGACGGAGTTTCACTCTTGTTACCCAGGCTGGAGTGCAATGGCGCGATCTCGGCTCACCGCAACCTCCGCCTCCTGGGTTCAGGCAATTCTCCTGCCTCAGCCTCCTGAGTAGCTGGGATTACAGGCACGCACCACCATGCCCAGCTAATTTTTTGTATTTTTAGTAGAGACGGGGTTTCACCATGTTGACCAGGATGGTTTCGATCTCTTGACCTCGTGATCCACCCGCCTCGGCCTCCCTAAGTACTGGGATTACAGGCTTGAGCCACCGCGCCTGGCCTAGTCCACTGAATTTTTATAATAGCCCTATAAAGGCCAGGCACAGTGGCTCACACCTGTAATCCCAGCACTTTGGGAGGGTGAGGCGGGCAGATCAAGAGGTCAAGAGATCGAGACCATCTTGACCAACATGGTGAAACCCCGTCTCTACTAAAAAAAAAAAAAAAAAAAAAAAATTAGTTGGGCTTGGTGGCACGCGCCTGTAGTCCCAGCTACTTGGGAGGCTGAGGCAGGAGCATTGCTTGAACCCGGGAGGCAGAGGTTGCAGTGAGCCGAGCTCGCGCCACTGCACTCCAGCCTGGCACTTGGCGACAGAGCAAAACTCTGTCTCAAAAAAGAAAAAGCCCTATAATGTGAGTACTAATATCACTCCCTATCTCACAGATGAGGAATCTGAGGGTTAGAGAGGTAAGAAACTTGCTCAAGATCATACAACTTGTGAGTGGTGGGGCAAGGATTAAAAGCCTGGACACCTAATCATCCAATGCCCTGCCTTTTCTAAATGGAGACAAGTAAGGGAGATAGGAAAAGAGCAGAGGTAAAAAAGAGAAAATAAAGATGTGTGAAATGAGCCCTTTTAAAATATCAAGAGTGTCTTTCTAACTGCCCAAGCCAGTGGCCTTTCCTCAGTCCCCCTTCTGGACTCCTCTATGGTAGTTAACATTGCTGATCGGTTCATTCTGAGCATTTGTAACCCTGCCCATTTACTGTCACTTCTCTGAAGGAGTCTTTTCTTTTTCCTTGGCTGCTCTCTTCTTCCTTTTATCCTATAGGTATAAATATTCCACAGGGATAGGCTGTCCATTTTCTGATCACTTTTGTCATAATTTTACTTTTTAATTTTTTTTTTTTTTTTTTTTTTTTGAGACAAGGGTCTCATTCTGTCTCCCAGTGGCACGATCTCTGCTTACTGCAGCCTCAACTTCCCAGGTTCAAGTGATCCCCCCACCTCAGCCTCCTGAGTGGCTAGGACCCCAGACATGTACCACCATGCCTAGCTAATTTTTGTATTTTTGGTAGAGATGGGGTTTTGCCATGTTGCCCAGGCTGCTCTCAAAACTCCTGGGCTCAAGTGATTTACCCGTCTTGGACTTCCAAAATGCTGGGATTATAGGTATGAGCCACAGCACCTGGCCTGCAATTTTATTTTATTTTTTAACTAGTGATGCCAAAATTTTAATTTTTTAAATTAAAAAATGGTTTGTGGCTGGGTGCAGTGGCTCATGCCTATAATCCCAGCACTTTGGGAGGCTGAGGCAGGCAGATCACGATGTCAAGAGATTGAGACCATCCTAGCCAACATGGTGAAACCCTGTCTCTACTAAAAATACAAAAATTAGCCAGGCATGGTGGCATGCACCTGTAGTGCCAGCTACTCAGGAGGCTGAGGCAGACAAATCGCTTTAACCCAGGAGGTGGAGGTTGCAATGAGCCAGAATTGTGCCACTGCACTCCAGCCTGACAACAGAGCAAGACTTTGTCTCAAAAAAAAAAATTGGTTTGTGTTTATCGTGTTGACAATGTAGGAAATAAAAGAGTAAAGAAAAAAATAGAAAAATCACTTATAACAATACTACCCACAGATAACCACTATTTACTTTTAGGTCTATTTTCTTCCAATCTTTATATTTCTGCATTCATGTATACACTCATGAGTGGTTATGCATATGATATATACAAATGCTGTTTACAACAATAGGATTATATTATTTCTACAATGTTGCATGCTGCTTTATCCACTCAGTGTTTTATTGTGATATTTCCCATTCATTAGGCATATGAATACACGATTTTTATTTATTTTTATTTTTGGAGATGTGGTTTCACCATGTTGGACAGACTGGTCTTGAACTCTTGGGCTAAAGTGATTCTCCCACCTTGGCTTCCCGAAGTGCTGGGGTTACAAGCATAAGCCACTTCCCTTGGCTGAATACATGATTTTTAATTGCCCTATTGTATTCTAGTAAATGGATAGATCATGATTTATTGATCCATTTCTCCATCTGGGGAGTCATTTAGTCTGTTTCCCATTTTTCTCAGAACCAATGCTGTATGCAGTGTCCTTATTTTTGTGAACATTAATCTTTGTGAATATTTTACATATCTAAATCTTTCCTTAGGATAAAAACCTAAAAGTGAAATTATTGGGTCAAATGCTACAAACATTTTTAAAGTTCTTGATGCATTTGCCAAACTTTCAGGTTTGTATCAGCCTGTGCTTTTTAATAGTTTCTCTCTAGATATCTGTCTCCTTTATTTATTTTTTTTGGTTGAGACAGGATCTCACTTTGTCACCCAGGCTGGAGTGCAGTGGTGTGATCTCCACTCATTTCAACCTCAGCCTCCCAGACTCAAGCAATCCTCCCACCTCAGCTTCCCATGTGGCTGGGACCTCAGGCGCATGCCACTGCACCGGCCTAATATTTATATGTTTTGTAGAGATGGGGGTCTTGCTTTGTTACCCAGGCAGATCTTGAACTCCTGAGCTCCTGCCTTGGCCTCCCAAAGGGCTAGAATTACAGGTGTGATACAGCATGTCCTGCCTCCTTACTTTTGTTATAGTCTATATTGTCAGTCCTGACTTCTCTCCCCTCCCCTGCTCTTCATTTAAAACTATCTCTGGACATCATAGCACATGGATCTCCCAGGGGTGCCTTGAAACTTACATATATAAAATAGAATTCCAGCTGGGCATGGTGGCTCATGCCTGTAATCCCAGCACTTTGGGAAGCCGAAGTGGGTGGATCACCTGAGGTAAGAAGTTCGAGACCAGCTTGGCCAACATGGCAAAACCCTGTCTCTACTAAAAATACAAAAATTATCCAGGCGTGGTGGTGGGTACCTGTAATCCTAGCTACTTGGGAGGCTGAGGCAGGAGAATCGCTTGAACCCTGGAAGCAGAAGTTGCAGGGAGCCATGATTGTGCCATTGCACTCTAGCCTGGGCTACAAGAGCAAAGCACCATCTCAAAAGAAAACCCAAAGAAACAGAATTCCTTATTCCTCCCCAGATCAGCTATTTTCTTCATTTGATAGTAACATTCTTCTACTCATTCATGCTCTTCATTTTAGCTCTTTGCCTTGTACACTTGTTTGTCATGTTTTGACCTTAATTCCTAGATCAGTGGTTCTCAAATTTGAGTGTGCATCAGAATACTCTAGAGGGTTTGTTAAAACATAGTTTGCTGAGCCCTACTCCTAGACTTCTTCATTCATGGATTGAGATGGGGCCTGAAAATTTGCATGTCTAACACATTCCTCATTGATTCTGATGGATGCTCCTGCCAGAACCACACTTTGAGAACACTGCTCTTGGGACTCTCACATCAGTTGTCCCTGTCTGTTCCCACACATAGACTTTTTAGTATATAAAAAGTATAGTTGATTTCTATATTGGGGGTATTTAATTATGATTTTTATTTCACTACTACAAAACCTTCACACTTTTTCCTTATATCCCCTGAATTTAGTTTTAACTTCTAATATGGCCTAATCAATTATTATGATACATCCATATAGCACTTTACAGTTTTCAAAGCATTTTAATAATTTTTTCTTCAAGGTTTTCTATAATTTGGCTGCCATTCTTGTGGCAAAGTGAAAAAGCACTTAGTGGGAAGTTAGGAGACTTGAGTCTTTTATTTTTGAGACAGAGTCTCACCGTGTCACCCAGGCTAGAGTGCAGTGGTGCAATCTCAGCTCACTGCAGCTCGACCTTCCAGGCTAAGGTGATCTCCTCACCTCAGCCTCCAGTAGCCGGCACTATAGGCATTCACCACCATGCCTGGCTAATCTTTGTATTTTTTGTAGAGACAGGGTTTTGCCATTTCACCCATGCTGGTCTCGAACTCCTGGAGTCAAGCCTGTCTCGGCCTTCCAAAGTGCTGGGATTATAGGCATGAGTCACCATGCCCAGCCTGAGTTTTTCTTAATTCTACCTTTAACTGTGACCTTGGGACAGTTTCTTCATCTGTAAAATGGGAGGGTAATATTAAAAGATCCTTAAAGATTTCTTTTCACTGTATTAATGCCTTTTTAACTTTATCTTCCATTGCTCTCCCTGACAAACCTATACTTCAGCTAGGCAGAGCTATTGCACTTACCAGTCTCTTTTTGTTTCTGGTTCTATGCCTTTGTTTATGCTATTTCTTGCCTATAGAATACCTTCTTCTCTCTTTCACAGTCCTTCAAGGACCACCTCAGATGTTATCTCCTACCACAAAGCCTTGACCCTCTTCTCCTCCTTTTTCCTCTTTGATATTGTCTAGCCTTTGGTTTGTGCCTCTGTCCCTTTGTTATGGCATATGTAACTTACTCCCATTAAATGTTATGTACAGATAAACTTTTCTAACAGATTATAAATTCTTTGAGAACTGGGGATGTGTTACTCATCAGTGTATCCATCCCCCACTCCTGCCCAGTGCATAGTATGATGCCTTGGATCAGAAGCTACTCAATACTTATGGAATGAATGCAGGTGACTTCAGGTGCCATTCATCAGCACCAGAGCAGTAGGTAGCTGGTCTCTTCTGTATCTGGGGTGACCTTGAATAACCTTGACATTTAATGTTGATATGAGAGAGCTGTCTGTGCAGTTAGAGATGTTGAAATAGAAAGATTCAGAAAGGCCAGTGATTGAAAAATGACTTCATCTCTATATATCCAGTAATATGTAATGTCAAAGGTGTATGTTCCCAATAACTGTCTGAGCTGAAAGGAATGGGTATTGTAAGTGGATGGGAACAAACATGTCTCCAAAGCCACATTTGTGGTTTTTGTTTTTTTTTAAACAGGGAGCCCATGGCCAAGACAGATGAGGGGGTGGCAGCCCCAGTGAGTGGAGGTGCTGCGCGACTCCGATTTTTCTCCATGAAGAGGACTGTATCTCAGCAGTCATTTGATGGGGTCTCATTGGATAGCAGTGGCCCTGAAGACCGGATTTCAGTGGACAGTGATGGCAGTGATAGCTTTGTGATGCTCTTGGAGTCTGGTATGTGGGAGCAGAGCCAGGCAAAGTTGCAGAAGTCCAGAAAGTCTCTCTCTGCTGCCTGTGTCAGACTGGCAGGGTTAAAGAGAAGCCAAGATATGATAATATAGACATTTTCTTAACCAAGACAAAAAAGAGAGAAAGAAATTCTAATGGATTCTTGGGTTTGGTGCCATGTTTTCTAGGTTATTGGTTAATAACTGACTTCTTATCACAGAAAGAGATTCAAACCAAAAGAGAGAATACAGCCTTATAGATAAGTCAGGATTATCATGGTTGGTATCAGTGGTGTAAGGTGTGTTTGTAGTCTTTTTTTTTTGTTTTTGTTTTTTGCCTATGTTGTCATTGGAAAATAGGAGCTTTTTATCTGTCAATAAAATGAGAAACTTTTAGGAATTAATCACCTCTGTAAGTTACACTGGTTCTTTCAGTTTATTGAAATAGAAACTTATGATCCCTTAAGAGTATCTAGGCTGGGCACAGTGACTCACACCTGTAATCCCAGCACTTTGGGAGGCCACGGCAGGTGGAACTTGAGGTCAGGAGTTAGCAACCAGCCTGGCAAAACCCCATCTCTACTAAAAATACATAAGCTATCTGGGCATGGCGGCAGGTGCTTGTAACCCCAGCTATTTGAGAGACTGAGGTAGGAGAATTGCTTGAACCCGGGAGACAGAGGTTACAGTGATCGGAGATCATGCCCCTACACTCCAGCCTGGGCGACAGGGCGTGACTCTGTCTCCAAAAAAAAAAAAAGGAAGGAAAGAATATATTGTTTATTTATTTATTTTTAATACTGACAAATTATAATTTTATCTATTTATGTGGTATTAATACAAAGTGATGCTATGATATATATACAAACACACACAATGGGATTTTTGAACCAAACTCACGTATATGTCACCTTAAATACTTATTTAGCATAGTGTCCATCCTCCAGATTCATCTATGTTATCACAAATGACAGATTTCCCTCTCATAAGGCTATATAGTATTCCATTGTATATTTGTACCACATTTTCTTTGTCCGTTCATTGGCTGATGAATACATAAGTTGATCCCATAACTTGGCTATTGTGAACAATGTTGTAGTAAACACAGGAGTGGAGATAGTTCTTTGATATACTTTTCTTCATATCTCTTGGATATATATCCCAAAGTGGATATGGTAAGTCTATTTTTAGCTTTGAGGACCCTTCATACTGTTTTCCATAATACCCATATTAATTTACATTTCCACCAACAGTGTTCTAGGGTTTCCTTTTCCCTGTGTCCTTGCCAACACTTTGTTATCTTTAATCTTTTTGAGAATAGCCATTCTGACAGGAGTGGGGTAATATCTCATTGTGGTTTTAATTTAAGAGAATGCACTGTTTCTTAAGCTGGGTGATGTGTACCATGTTTGTTATTATTTTGAATTTATTAGGGAAGATTTCATGTCTAGGTATGAAAGTAGACAATCAAATAATGAACCCTCATAAACCTATTACCTAGCTTTGAAATTAAGAACTTATGGCAGGCCCAGTGCAGTGGCTCATGCCTGTAATCCCAGCATTTTGGGAGGCTGAGGTGGGCAGATCACTCGAGGTCAGGAGTTTGATACTAGCCTGGCCAACATGGTGAAACCCTGTCCCTACTCAAAATACAAAATTAGCCAGGCATAGGCGCATGTGCCTATAATCCCAGCTATTTGGAAGGCTGAGGTGGGAGAATTGCTTGAACCCAGGAGGTGGAGGTTGTAGTGAGCCGAGATCGTGCCATTGCACTCCAGCCTGGGTGACAGAGCGAGACTCCACCTCAAAAAAAAAAAAAAAAAAAAAAAGAAAAGACTTCATGCCATTTTTGTCTCATATACACTATTGCCTACTTTCCTTCATCCCATGTTATTTTGAAGTAAATCTCAAACATATCCTTTTATGCATAAATATTTTCAGTTATGCAATACCAGAAAATACAGACTTTTTTCAAGTTGTGGTAAAATACATATGAAGTTTGCCATTCTAATCATTTTTAAATGGATAGTTCGGTGGCATTAAGTACATTCTCATTGTTGTACAGTCATTACTATTATCTTTTTCCAGGATGTTTTCATCAGTAACTCTTTATTTCCCCTCCCCCAAGTCCCTGGCAACCATGATTCTACTTTCTTTCTATAAATTTGACTACTTTCGTGTACTTCATATAAGTGGAATCATACAGTGGTTGTCCTTTTATAACTGGCTTATTCCACTTAGTATAATATCCAATAAGATTATAATATTCTAATAAGATTCTTTTATTTTGTAGCATATGTCAGAATTTCCTTTTTTTTTTTTTTTTGAGTCAGAGTCTCGCTCTGTTGCCCAGGCTGGAGTGCAGTGGCATGATCTCGGCTCACTGCAACCTCCACCTCCTGGGTTCAGTTCTCCTGCCTTAGTCTCCCAAGTAGCTGGGATTACAGGCGCACGCCACCACGTCCAGCTAATTTTTTGTATTTTTAATAGAGGCGGGGTTTCACCGTGTTAGCCAGGATGGTCTTGATCTCCTGACCTTGTGATCCGCCTGCCTTGGCCTCCCAAAGTGATGGGATTACAGGTGTGAGTCACCAGCGCCCAGCCAGTATCCTTCCTTTTTAAGGCTGAATAGCGTTCTATTATATTTATGTGTCAAATTGCTTATCCTTGCATCCATGGAAGGGTGCTTGGGTTGCTTCTGTTTACAGACTTTTAAAAATGGGACCAGATGTCATTATTACACTTTAAAAAATTAACAATTCGTTAATTTCATCAGATAGCTAGTTAGTCCTCAAATTTCTAGTTGTCTCATGAATGCCATAAATATTTTGTTTTTACAGTTGTCATTGTTTGTAGAGGTTGGATTTGAACAGAATATTTTGACTTTTGTACTCGTTTGCCCTCTTTCTCATGCAGAGTCTGGTCCAGAATCTGTTCCACCAGGATCTCTTTCAAATGTCTCAGATAATGCTGGTGTTCAAGGGAGCCCTCTTGTGAATAATTGTGGCCAGGGGTCACCAGCAGCTAACAGTTCAGTTTCACCCAGTGGAGAAGACCTCGTCTTTTACCCGGTCAGCTGCTCTACTTTATTCTCTGCAGAGGGTAGGCTCTGGGCTGGGAACTTGGGACTTAAAACTAAGAGAATCTCCTTTGACAGGTCTCAGTTCTGGTCCTGAAGGTGAATGAGGTGTCTTTTGGGATTGAGGTACGTGGTGAGGACCTGACTGTGGCCCTGCAATCAGAGGAACTGACCCTCCAGCAGCTGGGCACCGTGGGACTCTGGCAGTTCCTGCATGGACAGTGTCCAGGTAAGGATGGTGGTCATTCTACGACAGACTGTAGGACTGTCTATGTCTAGGACAGCTGTAGATTAACTTGCACTTGTCACTGTGCTCTAAGGGCAGCCACTCTACTAGTGCCAAGTTTTCTCCAGCAGCCATTAGGGAGAGGAAAACCTCCACTGAAGCCTTTTTTGCAAGGGGCCTCCCAGAGCTCTTTCTTGGCTTTACATTCACTGTGCTCGTCTCCGTCTTCATTTCCAGGTACTCCTGAACATGAGGACAGTGTCCACTTCATTTATGTGTCTCTTAATATAAAACTATCTGATCAGGGAACTTCTGTCATTCAGATTCAGTCCTTTGATGTGAGTTATCATTTATAAAAGATGATAGGAAAAATCATATTTATTTAAAAATTATACTTTATTTAAAAATTATTGGCCAGGCATGGTGGCTCATGTCTGTAATCTCAGTACTTTAGGATGCCGAGGCAGAGGGATCACCTGAGGTCAGGAGTTCGAGACCAGCCTGGCCAACATGGTGAAACCCCATCTCTACTAAAGATAGAAAAATTAGCTGGCCATGGTGGTGTGCGCCTGTAATCCCAGCTACTTGGGAGGCTGAGGCAGGAGAATCGCTTGAACCCAGGAGCCTGGGCATGGTGGTTTATGCCTGTAATCCCAGTATGTTGGAAAGCTGAGGTGGGAAACTAGCCTGAGCAACATAGCAAGACCTCATCTCTACAAAAAATACAGACCGGGTGTGGCGGCTCACGGCTGTAATATTAATGCTTTGGGAGGCCAAGGAGGGTGGATCACTTGAGGTCAGGAATTTGAAACCAGCCTGGCCAACATGGTAAAACCCCATCTCTACTAAAATACAAAAAAATTAGCTGGGCGTGGTGGTGTATACCTATAGTCCTAGCTGCTTGGGAGGTTGAGGTAGGTGAATTACTTGAGTCTAGGAGTTTGAGACTACAGTGAGCTATAATTGCGCCATTGCACTCTAGCCTGGGCAAGAGTGAGAACCTGTCTCTTAAAATTAAAATATTGAGTAGATACTGAAGAATACTTATAAACTATATGTAAGACATAAAATAATAACAATACAATGAACCCATTTACCCACTACCTAGTTCGTTTTATTGTTTTTAAATATTTTTTTGAGACACAGTCTTGCTGTGCTGCCCAGTTTGGAGTGCAGTGACATGAACCCTCCTGGGTTCAAGCAGTTCTTCTGCCTCGCCCTCCCATGTAGCTGGGAATACAGGCATGCACCACCACACCTGGCTAATTTTTGTATTTTTAATAGAGTCTGGGTTTCATCATGTTGACCAGGCTGGTCTCAAACTCCTGGCCTCAAGCGATCCTCCTGCCTCAGCCTCCCAAAGTGCTGGAATTACAGCCCTAAGCCACCATGCCCGGCCCCACCACCTAGTTTGATAAATAGAACAGTACCATTACCTTTGAAGTCTCTGGGAATCTCTCTCTTGAACCTCCTTGTGTCCCTCACCCATCAAAGATAATCACTATCCTCAATTTGTATTCATCTTTATCTTGCTTTACTTTATAATTTGTACACTGTTTATATTGTATTATTTAGCTTTTTTCACATTTTTCTAAATGGAATCATAGATTGTACCATTTTTATGATTTGCTTCTTTCAAGTAACGTGATATTCTTTAAATTCTTCTAGGTTGTTGAGTTAGCTATAAGTCATTCATTTTTCATTACTATATAATGTTATTGTATACATACACCACTTTTTTTTTTTTTTTTTTTTGAGACAGTCTCCCTATGTTGCCCAGGCCGGAGTACAGTGGCATGATCTCGGCTCACTGTAACCTCTGCCTCCTGGATTCAGGCAATTCTCCTGCCTCAGCCTCCCAAGTAGCTGGGATTACAGGTGCTCACCACCACACCCAACTAATTTTTGTATTTTTAGTAGAGATGGGATTTCACCATGTTGGCCAAGCTGGTCTCAAACTCCTCACCTCAAGTGATCCACCAGCCTTGGCCTCCGAAAATGCTGGGATTATAGGCATCTCACGTGGCCAATACACCACTTTTTCCTTTTTGTTTTGTCTGGCTTTTTTGAGGGGGAGACAGAGTCTTATTCTGTCACCCAGGCTGGGGTGCAGCGGCTGTCTCCGCATCCTGGGTTCAAGTGATTCTTGTGCCTCAGCCTCCCCAGTAACTGGGACTACAGGCACCCACCAATACACCTGGCTAATTTTTTTTTGTATTTTTAGACAGGGTTTCACCATGTTGCCCAGGCTGGTCTTGAACTCCTGACCTCAAGTGATGCACCCACTTTGGCCTCCCAAAGAGTTAAGATTATAGGCATGAGCCACTGTACGCAGCACTTTTTGCTTTTTGAAAACAGCTTTATCAAGATATAATTTGCATAGCGTAAAATTCACCCATTTGAAGTGTACAATTTTAGAATTTTGTAACCGCATGTTCTTCACATGTACCCCAAAACCTAAAATGCAATAAAATAAATAAATGGGGAAAAAAAAAAGTAAACCACTTAGAAGACCCCCCCAAAAAAAAAAAGAATTTTGTAACCATCACCACAAATCAATTTTAGAACATTTTCATGTATCCCTTGTACTCATTATCCTATTTACTTTATTCTATTCTGGACTTCTGGACAGACTTTAGGTTGTTTCTAGTTGTTGTTGTTGTTTTTCTGTTTCAACATCTATGCTACATAGACATCCTTGTACATGTGTCTTGGAATATATGTTTGAGAGTTTCCCCAGGGTTATATTTCTGACAATATAATTTCTAGATCATTAGGGTAGGCATAAGTTCACCTTTACTAGATAACACCAAATTGTTTACCAAATGTTTGCACCAATTTGCAGTTCCATAAATGTGGAATTTGTTCCACAAGATCCTTGGCTACACCTGAGATTGTTCTGTTTGGAGTTTTGGAGAAGTTAGCATAGGTCCTGCTTTGCTTTATGAGTGACAGATGAGAAGACCAAGACTTAGAGAAAGGAGGAGACATTCAAATTTATTAGAGTTTGGAGTCCTGTGCTTTAAGAGCATTTCCTTGGCCATTAGCCCACTGCCTCAGATTCATAACAAGGCAAGTCCTTAATCTGTCTTCCATCTTACAGGGCATTGTAGGAAAGAACCTAAGCCTATGGACCTGGCAATCAGACTGCCTGGGTTCAGATCCTCCTTGCTACTTACTAATTATGTAACTTTGGGCAAATGTTTCTCTGTGACTTAGTTCAGTCAGATGAGAATGATGATATTCGTTTGACTTAGGGTTGTTATGAATATTGATACATAAAGTACTTAGAAGACTCCCTGGCTGTTAATTAGTTGTCTTCCTTGTCTTTCTTCACAAAGGTACATGCTTTCAGGAATCCTCAACTTTGAAGACTGGCCACATCAGGCCAGCTGTGGGCCTTCGCTTTGAGGTGGGGCCTGGAGCAGCTGTTCATTCCCCCCTGGCCTCACAAAATGGCTTTCTACATTTGCTGCTTCGTGGCTGTGACCTGGAGCTGCTCACTTCGGTGCTCAATGGCCTGGGGCCCTTCTTGGAGGATGAGGAGATCCCAGTGGTAGTCCCCATGCAGATTGAGCTCGTGAACTCCAGCATCACCCTAAAGGTGTGAGGAACGTTTGGTTTTTGCCAAAGTAAGGGCACATTGGTTTTTGCCCTGGTCTTTGTCAAACAAGGAAGCAGTGACAGCTGTTAACCTCTTTCTTTTTCACTGTAAAATGTGGTGAGGATCAAGTGAGGAAATATTAATACATATTTGCATTCTCTGTCAGTGTTATAGTGGTATATAAATGTATGTTGCTGTCAAAAAAGCCAGGGTTCAGGTGGGGAGACCTTGTCTCTAACCCTAACCCTGTCTTTGGCATGCAGCATTACCATGTGCAAGCCATCAGGTTATCTGATCCTCAGTTTCACCATCTCTAGATGGGAGAATTTGTTACGCCTCTTATACCTTCCAAGAATGTATGGAGAAACTGGCATAAAGCTACTTTAAGCTGAATGATGGGAGCATGGGTTGCGTTAGATTGCTCTAAGCTGGTGGGGGCATCATGTGGTTTCCCTCTTTCCTACAGGATGATATCCCCCCCATCTATCCAACATCTCCAGGCCCCATCCCCATCACTCTGGCAATGGAACATGTTGTGCTAAAGAGGAGTGATGATGGTGTGTTCCACATAGGCGGTGAGTCAGGCTTGTCAGCCTGTTGGTTTCTCTGCCTTTTTTTTTTCTCCTAAAAGTGAATAGCTGACACCTAGGAACTGTTTGGGAGCTGGCAGCAGTTTTTCACTTAGAACCTTTACTTGTTTTCTCTAGCTGCTTCTCAGGACAAACCATCAGCTGAAGTACTTAAAAGTGAGAAGAGACATCCCCCAAAAGAACAAGTGTTTTTGGTGCCCACAGGAGAGGTTTTTGAACAGCAGGTGAGGACCTAACAGAAGAGTACCTGCCCATAACTCTTGGGGGCTGTAAATGCAAAGCTGGTAAAACCCGGGGTGGGAGGCAAAAAGGCTGCATGTGCTGTGTGCATGTGGGTGTTTTGGGTCCTGTCCCCTAGCAGCGATTTCTAGAAGTGCTGACTAGAGGATAAAAGTCAGGAGCTGGAGATGAATGGTTGCCAAGGACGTGCTGCACCTGCCAATGAATTCTGAAGAGGGAATCAAGCTCTTAGAAAAGATATGGTTGAGTTATCTTGATCATTGACCTAACTTGTGGATTTTTCTGCACGAACCCTTCCTCCCTGTTTCCTTTACTGGCTGTTGCTGCAAGATGATATTACCATGTTTAACTGTGAACTACTTATTGTTCCTCAGGTGAAAGAACTGCCTATCCTACAAAAAGAACTTATAGAAACTAAACAAGCATTGGCCAATGCCAACCAGGATAAAGAAAAACTTCTTCAGGAGATTAGGAAATATAACCCCTTCTTTGAGCTCTGAAACCAGTGGCTCAGCCATCTGTGCCAAGGAGAGAGGCTATCACCAGCAATAGCACCACCTATGACAGAGGGCACTGTCCAGTGCTGAATAAGTCACTACGGATGCCAGAGGGTCTGGGGAGCACTCACTTCACTTGTGTGGGTGTGCTTTCCACTAGCTGTTCTAACTTGGATGGAAGACAAGGGCAAAGCATGACTGTATCCCAGAAAACTGGGGCTTGCCCTGTGTGTGGCACAAGCATCATGTCTTGCCTGTATAAAGCCTTTTGGTCCTCTGCATATTAGGTGGGATCTTCTCAACACTGTAGGGCCATTTCACCTCATGGTTTCATGGCAGGGACATTTGCTTCCTTCACAAGTCTGTGTGAACAAGCGAAAGTACCCACCTCCTCGTCACCCACAGAGCCACCAAAGATTCCATGTCCCAGAGCTTCCCATAGCAGACCTGAAAAGTCCTTGGCCTGAGCTTCGGCCATGGTAGAGTGGAACAGGAAATAGCCCAGCAAAGCAGTGTGGGGGAAGAAGGCAGGAGAGGCACAAGAATAAGGGAGATCTGGACTCTGCCTTTTTGGGAAAAGGAACCAAACTCATATCAATTTGGCTGATAACACAATCAGATTTTTCCAGGTTAAGCTTCCTTTCTGTTATACTTTGATCATTGTGATGCTGTGGTAGAAAGTAAACAACAGTACTGGTTCAGTCATTTAATCTTTCCCTTTTATAATACAACTTTTTTGAAATTTAAATCAAGAAAAAGTTTCTGACTCTGACCTAGGTTGGTGGCATGATATGCCGGGGGTCAGTGGAGGAGCTTGCTTCTGAGCCCCCTGTTGTCCACCTGGAGTCCTGCTTGTCTTCCTCACCTGTGCTGAGTGGCTCTTCTATCTTCCTGGAGTCCCTGGCACATCTGCTTTCCCAGCTCTGTGACTTTACCATTTCTCTCCTCAGCACTTGGTGGTTTGGGAACTGAAAATGTTTTAAACTTTTACATAAACAGCTCAACCTGTTGCCTCTCACTTCCCTCCATCACTGTGGCTTTTCAAAATCATGTATTTTTGACTCAAGTGAAAAAAACAAAAATCCTTCAACCCAGCTAGGTTTTGCCCCTGCCCTATAAAAGAGCTATTTCCCTCTTTCTTTCCTTTGAATTCTTCTCCAACACTATCCCTTCATTCATACTGCCCTGTGATACACTTGAAGCTGTGTTGATTGGACATAAGTTCATCAGCTCACTTACCTTTACTTGGCAAGATGGTAAAATAGTAATTTAGTGATGTTACTAAAGTCTTGACCATACATGACTTATTGAAGGAAAGGTGAAAAGGTTTTTTTTAATGGGAAATTATGCTTGACTTGCATACTCTAGGTTGATGAGGATAAAAAGAAACATGTAATTGCAGTGGTGTTTATAACTAATTGATCACAACCAATCATAGATTTCTTTGTTCCTTCTCCACTCTCAATGCTTCACTTGACTAGGAAAAAAAAATGTATTCACCAAGGAACAGGACTTAATTTGCTCAGACTTTTAAAGGACTTTTGTTAAGTTTCTTTACTAAGGCAAATTTTGAAGCAGCAGTTACTATGGGATGGTGGGAATTTTTCATGCTTTAGAAATAGAGACTTAGGAACAAAGAAACATCCTTCTGGAGAAAATGCTAATAGGAAGTTACCTAAGGCTTGATGCTTGGTTCAACCTTATTTAAAATTTTTATAAATAACCCAAAAGTAGGATTTTACAATGAAATCAAATGTCACTACTTCCAGGCAGTGAAAGGTAGACTAGAAGAGGTTTAAAAAACAAAACCAGAGAAAGGTTACAATAAGCAGTGCTGAGAATACTCAGAAATCTGACAGGTGAGGTTCAACATAGTATAAGGAAATGTGTTTATGGAAGAATTACCAGTTGATATACCTGAACGCTATTAGAACTCGGGAAAGAAACCGAAGCATTGCTGAGGGGAGGAGAGACCAATGTGCTGCTATGGCTACAAGCCTAATTGCCCTGTGGGCATCATCAGGAAGAACTTTTGGAGACAACAGAGAACAGTGGTTTATACAAAATCGTGGATATGTCTTGATCAAACTATCTATGTTTCTACTGACCTTATTTACAAGAAATATGATGGAGGAAAGGTTAAGAGAACAGCAAAAATTATCAGGGGGTGGAGGTATATCCATATGAGGACACATCTTTAAAATATAAACGCTATCCTGCAAAGATGAAAGCCGAGGGGAGTTAGATCAAATATCCAATCAAGAGCAAGGACCCAGTCCTGTACTACTGGCTGTAGGGGTCTATCTCATAGCCTTAGATAAAGAAAGCACCTCTCATAGCAAATCAGAAATGTAAGGAGCTCATTGTCTAAGAAGTGATGGCAGCAGAAACTATACATGGTGCAGGTGTATGAGGAATCCTTGCGTGACGGCCTTCTACAAGGATTATAGAAAAGTAGGGCTACTTAGTAATACACAACTGAGAGGGCAACTGTGTCCCTTGACAAACTACTCCTTAGTGCCTCTTTCAAAGGCAGAGTGTTGATCTGAATGGATCACTGGTCTTAAGTATGGAATCTCTAATGTTCTTGAAGGGGGAGGAGGGAGATCTGGTAGCTGGAAAATATATTTATTCAACCTTATGCTCATCTGAATTGGTTAAGAATCATATTCTGATTCGCTTCTCAGCCCCTCCTACCCCCACCTACCATATCCCTCTGGCGTCCCTCCATGCAAAGAAAATGTCTAATAGGCATTTCTTGATATACCTTTACCTACACTTGTGCTTGTAGGGTGACAGTAAAAACATATCCATTAAGTACCAAGGCTAACCTCTTAATGGCTGGAGCTCGGTTAGGTCTCTGGGCTCTCTGAAGGAGTCTAGAGCTCTTGTCTATGTGACAAATGGAGCCTTAGAATTTCTGGCTTTCCTCATGTGGCAGCTTTGGCCATTGTGTCTTGAAATCCTCCCTCAGGAAATGTGATAGGGGTTATCCTATGGGATTTTAGTAAAAATCAACTTGCCTAATTTCATATTCCTGTTCATAATGAAGAAATGTGAATTAGTGGTAGTCCTCAGGATAAGTGTAAAGGAAAATACGCAAGGGAAAAGTAGTAATGTCAGCCCTTTTGGGCTGCTTATGATTTCTGCCTTAGAGCTGCAAGACTTGGAACAAGAAATAACAATACCTCAAGAAAATGTCTGGAGAGATAGCACCACTATCCCTCAAAGACTTCAGCGACTGAACATTACCATTTCAGCTGTGAAGCATCTACAACTATGTATTATCCATGATTGTCTACATTTCCTGTTTACATGTATGTGCTGGGAATATGCTTTAGTGTGTATGGACTAGAGTTTAAATCCTCTCTTTAACTGGGCTGCCCAGATGGCTATCAATCGCAAATTCTGTTTTCAACTCACTGGAATAATTAACCTAGTTTCCCTGATATAAAACAGGTGGGTTCTATTCACATGATGTCTGCTTTTTACCATCTGTTTCATCTAACCTTCATTTTGCCATGGGCCTCAACCTTTATGTCCCCTTTTTATGGTTCTGAAAGGAATGGCTCCCATATATGGAATATACAAGGGATAAACACCACCCCTCACATACCCTGTAACTTAAACGCTTCCATTTAACTCACTTAGATTACTTTTCCCTTAGTGGTAAACGGGTTGGGGGATGGGCAGTAGTGGAAAGAAGGTAGTTTTAAGTATTGCCATAGTAATATGGGAACTTTTTATTCTAAACCTTTACCCTAGTTTTTTCTTCTCTGTCATTTATTTAAAAATTTGCCTAAACTTCTAAAATCAGAGAAAAATCATTAAAACTATGGAAACAACTGAACTTTGGTACAGAAGTTAGTTCGATGTCATCTGGTTATTTGAAAACAGTAAAAGCTGTGTCATTGCCTCATGATTAATCATAGTCATTATTAAGGCTTTCAGAGAGAATCTGGTGGAAGCGCTATCCTTTCAGAGACTAAGGCCTTTACCTAGTTGCTCCCCTACCTTCTGTCAGGAATATTCCCATGCATTTCTGGGTAGGTATAGGTAGTAGCTATTGAATGAAAATTATTTTCCCCATGGCACAAGGGGAAACACTCTTGGATAACCTTTAACAGTGAGGCTTTGCTAAGTGGCCAGACTTGGGATTTGATCTTCCTCCCTTATTATTTATTAAGTTTCGGCCTTATTCAGTATCTCTAATTGCAATAGATATAGTTCCTGCAACTGCTAAAAAAAAAAAAAAATTCTTTTAGAGCTGAGAGAGTATCTTTTTTTGTCAGTTTATTAATTTTTGGTCAAGATTTAGCCTTAGTCTTAAAGCATTTCTTTGTGGAATGCCCCACTGAAGTGTCTTCTCCATTGGCTAAGTACATGTTTAAAGCCATGGGTTTTAATGTAAGATACTAAAAGTCAGATTTGCCCACCTTCATGAGTCCAAACTGTTTCCCCCACTGAGGGTGCTAAATAGAATCTTTACTAAGACATGCTCAGGAAAGCTTCACAAGAGAACAGCTTCGGCAGAGAGGAAAAATTCTTGGGGATTGCCAATTACATACAGTAGCCTTATTACTGCTAATCACTGTCAACAAAAGGTCACTTCATTCCCCTCTATTTGAGAAAAACAATGAGAATGTATCTGATGAACTGGAATCCCGGTCAGTATTGGGAAATTTCAATGTTGCAATATCTAGTCAAACCTTGAGTGTACTGGTTCTGTGAACCACCTGTAAAAACAAATTAAATTTATTAAATCATAATGGTTGTCGTATATCTGTTGATAAGCATCTGAAATATATGGGCTTTTATATTGTTTATTCTCAGTTTTAGGGGGAGAAGATTATTACATTGTTTTTAACAGTGCTTGAAGTACTCTTTTATGAGATAAAATTTTAATGGTTTTATTAGAAAAAGGACTCAAATTTTCACAAAATAGCCAAAACCAGTTGTATTGAAACACTAGAAAAGAATAATCAACTTCCTATTACAACCAGCTAGACAGAAAATCAATACACGTAAGATAAGTTGGAAAACAAGTTTAATGATCACTCACCAAAATCCAGAGGAGAACCTTAAATGTTTACAAGCACCAATTATTCCACGATTCCTGCCTTTACCACGTCCTTCGTGGTAGAGTTCACAAGTAAAAGTTTCTGGTTGTTTCATCTACTTAAAACCAGATGTAAGAAACAAACGAAGTCTTAGCAACTTCAGGCTTCAATGTGAAACCATTAAAGCTCTTGGCACTTAAGGAGGCTGAGGCAGGAGGACTGCTTCAAGCCAAGAGTTCATGACCAGCCTGGGCAACAAAGCAAGACCCCATGTCCATAAAAAATAAAAATAAGTTAACTGGACACAGTAGTGTGTGTCTATTGTCCTAGCTACTCAGGAGATTGAGGTGGGAGTGTCACTTAAGCCCAGGAATTCAAGGCTGCAGCCATGCCACTGCACTCCAGCACTCCAGTCTGGGTGACACAGAAAGACCCTATCTAAAAAAAAAATTAAAAAAAAAAAAAACTCTTGGAAAGGTTTTCTCTCTGAAAGCAGTTCTGTCCAGAAGATGTTTATGGCCCACACATCTTCCAACTGGCCAAGACAGTTAAATACTTCAAAATGCCCCAAGATGTCCCAAAATTTAGTCAAGGCAAACATCAAACAGGCTACATACTTTCTAGGTGTGACAAATAATTAGAGTTTTAAGAGATTAAAATCATGGAATCCTTGGAGGACTGAGATACTAAAGCACCAGCAGACAGTCTTATAGGAGGTCTGGAACCAATACTTCTTCTGTCAGTAATAGGCCTTTCTAGACTTTGGTCTAGAAGAAGATGATTTTTTTGTGCTTCGAGTTAGGGATCTGTCCTTTTGACTTTAACCTTCTAACGGCTTCCCTCATATGTTTGGGTTGCAGTGGCGGCATTTCTCCCCACTTCTCACACACATCCAGTGCTAAACAGAGGGTAAGGAGAAAGTCTTATTATCACACAAGAATTTACTAATCACATAATCCTTTTGAGTCCTGTAATTCTTGTTAACCTTTCTTAAGCTTGCTAAGGAAATAAACCAAGACATTTTTACTTTAAGAGAATGCTATAAAATGTATCACATTAGTTTTAGTATAACGTCTCATATCAGGCTTTATCACAGACAACAGTTTAAAACATATTTCCTATAGGCCTCATGCTATGGCTCATGCCTATAACCCCAGCAGTTAGGGAGGCCAAGGTGAGAGGATTCCTTGAGCCCAGGAGTTTGAGATCAGCCTGGGCAACATGGCAAAACATTGTCTTTACAAAAAAATAAAAAAGTTAGCTAGGGTGGTGGTGCACACCTGTGGTCCCAATTACTCAGGAGGCTAAGGCAGGAGGATCACCTGAGTCCAGAAGCTGCTGTCGCAGTGAGCCATGATCATGCCACTGCACTCCAGCCTGGGCAGCAGAGTGAGACCCTGTCTCAAGAAAATAACTACATAAAAATAAAATTAAAAATTAGCCAGGTGTGGTAGTGCATGCCTACAGTCCCAGCTACTTGGGAGGCTGAGGCAGGAGGATCCCTTGAGTCCAGGAGTTGGAGGTTGTAGTGAGCTATGATCACACCACTGTTACCATCTCGTTTTGTATACCATCTTAATTTATGATTTGTAAAAGAAAAAAAAAAAACACTAAAAAAAGTAAAGATCACACCACTGCACTCCAGCTTGGGCAACAGAGCGAGACCCTGTCTCAAAAAATAGTAATAATTTAAAAGTATGTATCTCCTGCTTAAAAAATAAAAAATTTCACCAGCTAGAGTAGCAATGGGAAACAGCCAGGCTTTTTACTCAATAACGGGGGCAGTTCCCAGGGATCACAACATTAGGGACAACTTACTATCCCACACAGGTCAGCCTTGTGATTGCTTTTCTTTTCTTTTTTTTTTTTTTAACTTCCTCTAACACGGATCATAGGAAACAATGCTTTTCTTATATCTTTACTTTTGGCAGCAGAAATAAGCAAAGTCCACTGGAGAGAAAAAAAATCTAGGCCGGGCACAGTGGCTCATGCGTGTAATCCCAGCACTTTGGGAGGCTGACGCTGGTGGATCACGAGGTCAAGAGATCAAGACCATCCTGGTCAACATGGTGAAACCCCGTCTCTACTAAAAATACAAAAAATTAGCTGGGCATGGTGGCACACGCCTGTAATCCCAGCTACGCAGGATGCTGAGGCAGGAGAATTGCTTGAACCCAGGAGGCGGAGGTTGCAGTGAGCCGAGATCGCGCCATTGCACTCCAGCCTGGGTAACGAGCGAAATTCCGTCTCAAAAAAAAAAAATCTACTCCTGTCACCCTGGGCTGAGGAATCAGGGAGGGGATTTCCCAGATGGTTCCTTGCCATCTGTTATTGAAACTTGCCAGGAATAATGGTCCTGTTCTCCTGAATACAGGGCTCCCCACTTGGTCAACTTCAAGTGCAAATAAGTACTTGTACAGGAGCTCTAATAAGTTCCTTTGTAGAGATATTCTTAAAAATAAGATCACCACAGGTACAATCCAGTATTTGTAACCAACACTACTCACCTTCTTCTACCACCTCCCCGACGAAAACCTTGGAAATACCAGACATAGCAATAACAACATTCTGAGACACAGAGGTGCCAGTGATGGACTGGATCAGCTTGAAAGAAGGACAAAGACTCTGTGATTATGATAGTCAAAGACTGGCTTTGAACACAGTACCAATTAATTCACAGAAGAAGGTAAGATAACTGAGGGACATTTTTTTTTCCCCACCTAAATCATTCACTGACTTGTCTAACACCTCACTTCAAATGCCAATAGACATGGCTCTTGAGTTCGGTTCTAATGCAAGATAGAAATGAAGTGTGGTGGGCCATCCTTACCCTTTTGATGGCTGCCTTAGGGAAAGCTGAGCGGCGATACATTTCATAACGGTTCAGCTGCTCTTCAGAAAAAGAAGAAACCAGGATTCTAGACAAAGATCCAGGTAACTAAGTTAACTTATAAGAATGAATACTCAAGATATTATTAAGTCAATAAAAGTCTCAGACAGATAAATTCTTACGGGGTCAATGGCATTAGGCTTGGTGCCTTGAGGAATGAAGATAAAACACTTCTACTCCTAAGGAACTTGAGGAAACATAAAAACTTTTTACCATTTAAGAACGATGAAAACAACATTGGGTCACTGTATCATACCATACAGACTATGTTTTCAGCATTAGACTCAATCTCCATAACTCTACCTTACTGAATTTTATACTGATAGTAAAAATTTAATATACAAATTTATAATCAAACTAGTAGTTTTCAACATTAACAGATTTAGGGGAAATGTCTGCAAAATATATGGAAACAGTTAATACCCCTAATGTATAATTAATTCTTTCAAATGAATAAAGGGGCCATATCAATTTATGAAAATGAACAAAGGATATGAACAGGAAAGTTACGAAAACACCAATGGTCAATCAACATGGGGGAACAAATTAACCTTTATTATTAACCAAGGAAATATTATTTTCATAGATAACATTTTTCACAAATCAGATCACTATTAAAAAGGAATGCTATTAGAATACGGGGCACAAACCCATACATGCTGGCAGAGAACTGGAATATCTTTTTGGAGAGAAATTTGGAAATACATATGAAAAGCCTTTGAAAATGTTCACACTATTTGAACTAGCAATTACACCTCCTAGAGGTAATTGGAAGAAATGGACCAGTATGCAAAAATGTGTCCAAAGATCCTCCTCGTAATGTCAAAAGAAAAAAATAATCCAACCAGAACCACTACAGGGACTGGTTAAGTTATAGTTCAACAACATAATGGGATACAATGTAGCCATTAAAATGATGATTGATGAGCATATTTACTGACATGAAAATATTTAGCTATAAATATAGCAAACATCTAAAAAAAACTTTGAAAAGGTTCATATATTATACCCAACTATACATACTTAGAGTAAACTCTGGGTGGTGAGTCTCTGGGTAATTTTTTCTATTTTTCTGTATTCTTTGAATTATTTGCAATGAGCCCATACTACTTTTACAATCAGAAAATATAATAAAGCTATTTCCATTTCTAAGAAAACTATGACCTCGATGTATAATTAGTGACATGGAAAATATTCACCATATCTAATGGGAAAAATAGGCTATAAAAGAGTATTTGACGTTTTTGAAAAAAAAAATTATTTATAGATATATATGTATAGAAATTCTCTTGAAACTTTTAACATAAGCGGGATGTATCTCTGTGATAAGGTGATTTTTTCTTTTATCTATCCATCCATCCATCCATCCATCCATCCATCCATCTAACTTTTAGAAAGAGAGTCTGGCTCTGTTGCCCAAGCTGGAGTGTAGTGGCACGATCTTGGCTCACTGCAACCTCTGCCTCCTGGATTCAAGTGATTCTCCTGCCTCAGCCTACTGAATAGCTAGGATTACAGAAACCCACCACCACACCCAGCTAATTTTTTGAATTTGCATTTTTTTGGGTGTGTGTTTTTTTTAAGACAGAGTCTCACTCTGTTGCCCAAGCTGGAGTGCAGTGGCGCGATCTCTGCTTACAGCAACCACCACCTCCCGGGTCCCAGTTCAAGCGATTCTCCTGCCTCAGCCTCCCAAGTGGTTGGGATTACAGGCATGCGCCACCACGCCTGTCTAATTTTTGTATTTTTAGTAGAGACAGGGTTTCACCATGTTGGCCAGGCGGGTCTTGAATTCCCTGACCTCAGGTGATCTGCCCGC